AAAGCACAAGCTGAACAGATATATGCACTAGGGGTGTGTGAAATGGGCCCTATTTGAGTCAGATTTGGATTCAGCCTTAATCGGGAACAGTGATTCGATTCATTGATTTGGATCACTGTCCCTGATTCGATTCAGCCGAATCCGAATCTGAAGGTTCGATGCAGAGAATCAGCAATTTGGACATAGACACAGCTTTAAAATGCTTTTTCTACATACCTTGAGGTACCAGGCGCAGCTCATGAATGCTGCGATGCTGGGGCGGATGGAGCATCCCACTGGAGCGCGGGGCGTCCCCTGCATGCTCAGTGGTGAATCCAGAAGTGGACCAGACATACTTCCGGCGATCAGCCACAGGGTGGACCCCGGGTGCCCCCTCCCAAACCCAAGAGGCACCAGTCACCGAGCCAGGGGAGTATAGGGGGGCCCCCAGAGTGCTCTCTGGCAGACCCGAAAGTGGACCAGAAGTGTTTCTGGTCCACTTCCGAGTCTGCTGCTGAGCGTGCTGGGGACCCCCCCACGCTCCTGTGGGACACTCCGTGCACCCCAGCATCACAGCATTCACGAGCCACCTGCTACCTAGACGTATGTAGAAAAAACATTTATGCTGTGTCTATGTCCAAATTGCCAAATCTTTCCAAATCTATTCAGAGGGTTCCAATTCAATTTGGAGAGATTAAAGGGCCCTTTGATTCGATTATAGGCCAGTCAGTTTTACCTCAATCCTGGGTAAGCTTTTTGAGAGAATTATCCCAGTGCATGTCCACGAGGGGCCAGCAGGGGAGGTTATGCTTAGGGGCAACCAACATGGGTTCATTCGAGGCAGGTCCTGTCAGACCAACCTGGTGGCCTTCTATGAGCAGGTCACAAAATCCTTAGACACAGGGGTAGCAGTGGACGTAGTCTTTCTGGACTTCAGGAAGTCCTTCAACACTGTCTCTCACCCCATTCTCATTAAAAAACTAGGGGACTGGGGTGTTGACACCTACACAGTCAAATGGGTCACTAACTGGCTGGAGGGTCGCACCCAGAGAGTGGTGGTGGATGGGTCATTTTCGACCTGGAGGGATGTGGGCAGTGGGGTCCCCCAGGGCTCAGTCCTCAGACCCGCGCTGTTCAACATCTTCATCAGTGACTTGGACAAGGGGGTAAAAAGCACCCTGTTCAAATTTGCCGATGACACTAAGATGTGGGGGGAAGTGCTAGAAGGGAGGAATAGGCTGCAATTGGACCTAGACAGGTTACAGGGGTGGGCAGATGAGAACAGGATGGGTTTCAACACTGACAAGTGCAGGGCCAACCGCACCTTGTCATGCATCCACAGATGCATCTCGAGCAGGTCCATGCAGGTAATCCTCCCCCTCTATGCGACATTGGTCAGGCCGCAGTTGGAGTACTGCATCCAGTTCTGGGCACCACACTTCAGGAGGGATGTGGACAACTTGGAGTGGGTCCAAAGGCGGGCCACCCGCATGATCAGGAGTCAGCAGGGCAGGTCCTACGAGGAGAGGCTAAGGGACCTGAACCTGTTCAGCTTCCACAAGAGAAGGCTGAAGGGGGATCTAGTGGCCTGTTACAAACTAGTCAGAGGGGACCAGCAGGCATTGGGGGAGTCCCTGTTCCCCCAAGCACCACCAGGAGTGACAAGAAATAATGGTCACAAGCTGGCAGAGGGTAGATTCAGACTAGACATCAGGAGGCGCTACTTCACTGTCAGGGCGGCTAGGACCTGGAACCAACTTCCAAGTGAAGTGGTGCTGGCTCCTACCCTGGGGGGCTTTAAGAGGAGGCTAGATGAATATGTTTGACCCCAGTGCTCTTTCCTGCCATGGCAGGGGGTCGGACTTGATGATCTGTCAAGGTCCCTTCCGACCCTACAAACTATGAAACTATGATTCGGAGATTCAGCCACTGAATTGGGCCGAATCTCCGTCGAATTGAATCAGGGACCAAAGCTTCGCACAGCCCTAATATGCACTCCCTGATATGCTACAAATATGGTGTTAGCACTCCAAAAGGAATGCTGAACAAAATAACCTGGGGGCTACAGAGTCACACTGACAGTCAGCTCCGCTCCCCATCCCCTGTCATCCCACCTGGCTGAAGAGCATAAGAGTGTAAGTAACTGCAGTGACTTCGAAGTGCCCCAGGTGGGGGGGGGGGCGGCGGCAGGGGGAAGAGGGAACAGTTTAAATGCTTTAAATGTTATGTTTATCTCCACCTGGTACACATGAATGGGGGTGTGTGTGTGTGTGTGTGTGTGTGTGTGTAGATGGGCAGTGCTGCTTTAAAACACAAAATATGCTCCTGTTGAATGCTTTTTCTTTTACAGCCTCACTTCCACCTACAACATAAAACTTGACACATTTTAAATGAGTTATGTGAAAGCACTGCAAGATCTGTTACCTTATTACTCTCACCTATTTTCTCTCAGTTTACATCTGGGGCAATGTTTGCTCTCACACAGCTGTAAATCCAGAGTAAAACCAAAAAAGTTATAGAACTCTCCCTGGATTTACATAAGTGAAAGCATTTTCTTCATCCTTGTCCCCTCCACTTGTTTAATTCTTTATTTCATACTTTCCCTTCCATTATATTTTTCCTGCCATCCTGGTGCATTATTTTCTCAATGCCTTTTTAATGTCTGTTTCGTTTTGCTCCCATTTTTCTCTTTAATAGATTTTAAATAGTTTAGTTTTAGTAAGATACCCATCCCATACTCATGCTGAAGAAACTTTTATGCTTTACTACATCATATATTCCCTATATTTCATATATTTATTTGGATGCAGACATTTATTTTCCCAGAAAGTTAAACTCAAATCCATCATCTGTTTTGCAGCAAGGTCCTGCTTTAGCTCAAATTTTATGGCTGGTTGACCAAAACACAGAGAGGTCAAAAGGCTTGTCCAAAGTCATGAGGGATTCAATAGCTCAGCTTGGACTAAAGCCCAGGACCCTTTGACTCCCAGCCATTTTCTCTACCCACCACATCATACTACATAATTTAAGCTATCATATGTGCCCGAATGAGTCTTTCATGATAAAACAGAGGGAAATACCACAAGCTCTCTTTTCTGCCAAGCATGGAGGAGGAATCAAAGGATTGAGTGGCTACACTGAACACGTAGTAAATGCCTAGCCAGGCATTACATCTCTTCTTTGAAACTAGCCTTAACTTTCTGTCATTATTAATTTAAAAGGTGAACTTTCAATTGTGAGCTTCAGCTCTCCAGTACTTTTGCATAGTAAGTGAATGTCATTATCCCTGTTCTTTAGATGGAGACATTATAAGGCCCAGTGAAGTTAAAGCCTTAAGCAACTTATGTAGGGTATTAATTTAAAGCAAATCAGTTTCAGAGTAGGCAATAGAATCAGGAAGTTCTGATTTCCAAGGCCAGTACTTTAGCCACTAACTTACATTTCTTCTCAAGTAAACTCAAGGGGAGCAAGGTATTCAGCGCGTTATTAACATCAGACTTACAGGTAAGGTAGAGTTTGTACCATCTCAGGTCCAGACTCACCAGCTGATGCTTCTGTAAGATGTCCCAGAACATGCCATACTCTCACTTCACAACCCCCCAGCGACCCAGTTAAGAAAGGAGTTTGCAATGGTGGGACTGGTATGTCAGCTATTTTCTAATGTATAATCATAATTATTAATAATAATTTTGTGATGTGGTTTGAAAATCGGTGTCATTCTCTATAACGCCTTCCTGCCAAAAGGTCTTAGGAACGGACAATGCTAACACTATGAAAACTAAAACAAACTCTATTCATGAAACTTTGTAGAAATGTTGTTTCTGGGAGGGGAAAATGCTGAGTAAGGGCTTGGAAATCAGACTCTCTTCTTGTATTTACTAGGTACTGGTTATTTACTGTATATGGCACATGACAGAAAAAAGAACGTTGGACTTGTTTTTCCCAAAAACAAATTAAAGAATTTAAACTACATGAACTCTTGCTTGAGTCAAGTCATTGACAAGCAAGATCATTGGAGTTAAGAAAATTTAGCAAAATGCTTACTGATGGAAGCTCTAATAGTGTTATTGTGGAGAAAGTCACAGTGATACACTACAGAGAAGTAAAGGAAATCAGTGGTATCAACAAGGGGTAATCAAATATAATCACTCGAGTATTTTACGCTATCAATGCATATGCAAACTTCAGATCATGCAGATGTCAATTTATAGATGTGCTGAGGCAAGGTTCATTAGACTCCTGCCTCTTAAAAATAAAATAATGTTCCATATGGAAGACAACATCTTCTTTTTTAATTTAAGAAATGTTTACAGTTTCACCATTTTGAGCACCATGTGCAGAGCCACCAAAATGTAACTATGATTTAAAAATCCACAATGATTAATGCTTAATCATTGACTAATTAAACTGTGATTTAAAAATTCCAGCATGTGGGACTTTGGGGACAGACACATGTACGTACAGTGCCTGGCACAATCAGGGCTACATCTCACCTAGAGTCTGTAGGCACTTCCATAATATAAAATGAAATCCATAACAAACAATAACCATGTATATTTGTGGTTAAAAGAAGCAAGGGAAACAAACATGCTTTGTTTGTTCACCCAGAAATTATCTACCCCAAAATAAAAGACTAGATCTGTTCAGTTTTGGAGCAGTATCCCGCTCTCTGTCATTTAACGTAAGCATGATTCTTAGCTTCATAGACGCTAGGGCTGGAAGAGACCTCAGAAGATCATCAAGTGTAGCCCCCTGCCCCAGGGGCAGGAAGTCAGCAGGGATCATAGGACCCCAGCAAGATAAATATCCAAATGTCTCTTGAAGGCGTTCAAGGTAGGCACTTGAACCACCTCCGGTGGCAGTCTACTCCAAACCTTGGAATAGACTGTCTGATACAGTTAATTATTTGCTTATACAAATAAGGATGGCTGTGTATTTTTTTTTTTAAAGATGATTAAGTTGACCACATCCTCTCTGAATCCTGACTGAGGTTTTGCTGTACAGCATAAAGCCACACTTACTTCCTGAGTACTGTTTTGGACTCTGAGGAATTCTGGCTTCCATCTTCTTCACAGTTTGAGGTCTCCAGGTTTCCATACCTAAACATTAAAATGGATATTTTAGACAGTTATTAAAAAAAAACCAAGCTAAATATATTTGGAATGGCAGTACCACTGGACTCAGCAGCAGCACTAGACTTCCCAGCTCATCAGGGTAATAGGACTATCAGGTGTGATATCATGAAGGACAATAACCTATGACTTAGTAAGATTTCCTTTTAATATTAATTTACATTCTTATCACCACTCCGAATAGTCTGTAAAAGCACAAAAGAGCAGCAGAAAAACCACTTCCAAAGTCAAATAGGAAACCAAATCTGATCAGTTTGGGGGTCCGAGGACCATTTTGTGACAATGATGAGAGTAAAATATGAGATGGTCCATAATTCCTGGACCATCATGGCTACATCAGTCTTCCACTGAGAGTAAAATAAAAAGGGGTTTTTTTCATAGTTAGGCTGGACAGCAAAGCGGGGATTTGGTTAAAGGGAAAAGCTGGATTATCAGAACTCATCAGTGGGAAAGGTGTGAGGGCTTGGAAGAAAGGGGAAGATTGCATATAGATTAGTGATCACTATATTGCACCTCCCACCACACCAGTGGTGTTGGCTTAGTCCCAACTCCAAGAAGAGAATGTTGCACATTGGGTGCATCTACATGTGAAATGAAGGCGGAGCAATAAACTGGTGCAGTTTGCATCAGAGTCAACTACTCCCAGGCATAGCATTTACACATGTACCCAGGACCACAGCACTTTGAGCCAGGGCAAAATAGTCCCAGGCTGAAAGGGAGCATGGGGTGGGGCTGAGGGGGTGGTGGTCAGTCCCAGGCTCTGGTGACAATGTTGGGACTGGCTAGAGCATGAAGATGCTACAGTGAGGGGCTAGGAAGCAGGCAGCCCCCACGCTTAAGCACCCTAGTGCCTCAGCCAGCCCCTGTCACTGTCTACACGTATCTTGCAGTGCACTTAATGATTCTACCATAAGATAGTACAGTACTATTTTACAGTGGAGTTATTTAATTTACTGCACCTTAATTCCAGCGGTGCATGTGTAGACGGTAACACTTTACCGCAGAGCTAATTAGTCAACTCTGCAATAAAGCACAGTAAATGCACCCACTGAGTCTCCTTCTACAGGACTTTGGTTTAACATTATTTCTTATTTAACTATTAGTCCATCCTCATTCTGCTAAGGAACAGATTGTTACTGGCCTTTCGGTAGGGGCTGCTGTGAAAAGATTTCCCCTCTGCCCCTCATGTTCTCCACACAAAGGGCTGTTCCATTCTCTGAAGTTATAGGAGTATTGAGACTGTTCTCTCTGTTCACTCTCAGAAGATATCACCTTTCAATGGCACATCACCACAAAGAGGACAGGAAGGAAGTCAAGTCCTAGCCCTGTCCCCCTCCCTCTGTTTCCTTCTACACCGGGGCATTTCCAGCAACTAAATAGTACAATTTGGCCCATAGTTTATAAGAGCCTGATAGATCACAGCACAATCTGGTTTGGCTACAGGCAAATACATTGTTATAAGAATTAATTCTACGAGGTATCTGTGTAAGACTGTATGTCAGAACCTTTCCCAGAGAATGAAAAAGAATCAAGATTTCTCTGTTCAAACTATCTTAGAGAAAAAAGATGAAGAATGTCAGTCTTTTCAATCCCCTTCATAATGTAATCCATCTAACATTTTATGTCAAGATCATGATGCTGCGAAGAATGTCAGTGGTGCAACTGAATTCAAACCTAAAAAGTCTTCCCTAACCTGCGCACTTAAGTCGGTGACACGGCGGACAAACTGTTCAAGCACTGCCCATACTAGTACAAATGCTTTGCTCTTTGAGGGCACATTTAATCCGAGAATGTCAAAGGCCTTTACAAACAGCGGCTATGTCTCAACAACCTCGTGAGACAGGGAAAATATTATCATTATCCCAATTACACAGATGGGGAAACGGAGGAACAGAAAGTAAGGAAAAGAAAGCAAAATACAGTGAAATGAAGAGATACTTGAGCTAGTTTTAAATGAGTCATCTTAAATAGTGGAAGTGGTCTAGCTGCAACACTCTGCAGTGTAAATATAAAACTTCCAGTCTTACATTTCTCAAAGGTCCATATGCCTCTCTGAGTTATGCCACTACAGCTCAACTGGCATCAAGAGATTGTGAAAATGTGACAGAGCAGATGTAACCCTTGGAATGAGCCCTTTGAGATGCATGCATGTAGAGTCAGTGGCAGAGGGATTCTGGCACCCCCTCACAGTCAGTGCCTGCAGCAGGTGCCCCCCTCTCCCTGCCCTTGTTATGTTACTGGAGTTAATTTTACTTAGATCTGTCATGATTCAATCAACCAATTCCAACCTTTGCAGTAAAACAAGCCTGGCTAAGATAACAGGGCCTGATTCCACATGTTCTTATCCATGTGGAAGCTCATTTTTTCTCTGAGCAGTCCCACAAAAGTTAATCGGAGCACTTATGAAGTAAGTTGGCACCCAGCATGACATACAATACACCAAGAGACATACACATATTTTCTCTCTGCCCTAATATCCCCTTCCTAATCCCACTTGGCCTTTCATAAATCTCATTCCCAATATTAGGAATTCAAAATAAATACAATTAATTCCATTTGATATAACCTCTAACAGGTTTCAACAATGAATTAAATCAATGCAATATTATTCTGAATATATTTCTAAGTGTTTCAAAGCATTCCAAAACCTTTTTAGAGAGAAGTAGTTAGCTATGTTAGTCTGAAGGCAGGCAGATTACCCAATCAGTCTACCAGCAATAGACTACCTATTCTCACCAAGCCACCAGACCTTATTCAAGACTCAGATGTCAGCTCTGTCCCCTTGTAAGCACAGACTGTATCATCATTGGAATAAACAGCACAGATTATAACAACTGGGATCATTCACCTCTACCAATGTCATATATGCAATCCCATGAGCTGCTACCTACGTTGAGGAATGGATGGACACCAATTTGACATCAATTCCAGAAAGACCCACAAGCCTTTGCAGAACACTTTAACGTCCCTGGACATTCACTGACCTTACTCTTAAACTAGAAGATTTTAAAAAACAACTTTGACACAAAATTGCGGAACACGAAATCTTCCATGGATAGGACTATGCTAAGTATGATCTCAACTGAATTATGGATTCTTATCCCATTACCTGGACTAGCTTTTATAATCCTTAGATCCCTTCATTGGTTAACTGCTTCTTTTATCCTCTTTGAACTTTTCAATCCACTTTCCCCTCTCTCAGCAATTCCCCCTCCACCTATCTCTTCCTCCCCTTTTCTCTAGCCTTTGTATTTAAGTAACTTTATTCCTTTCTATTTAGTACGCCTGCTCTCTGCAAGTCCATTCATAGCATTGAGGAAGGCCTACAAAAGCATAAACCTCTCTAAACAAGTTACTGTATTCTATAAAGTGCCACCCTGCCCTGCCTTTTGCCTAGCCCTAGCAGTGATCTCCAGAACAGGTTTAAAGCATACTGATGGGGCAGTATATCGGAAGGTTGCTGCACCTACTCTACAGATAGAAAGAGGATTTCATTTCTAGAGCAGCCCATTAGGCACCATGTCTCAGCATTAAATTCTCTAACAAGTATATTTTAAAATAAAATGTGGGCATCCTTTAATATGCATAGATTTGCAATGGCCAAGCTTTTCCATACAACAGTCTGTAAAGAAAGCTTCTATTTTTACTAGAAGCAATTAATTAACATATTTATGTTACCATTAATTCTTCTAAAATAATGTAATATGATATGAAACAGTGTAATCAGTACTACATATTCTCTTTACATGAAATATTAGATAAAAATTTGCAGAATATTAACACTTCTCTAAATCTCATTAGTGAAACAAATGTTTTATTGCATACAATATCAGAATGGAATAAATCAAAGCAGACATTTACCCATAAGAAAACTAGAAAGCACATCACGCCACCCTAGTTCCCAAAGGCAAATCACATCTATGACAGTACAACAGAACATTAAATATGGGTGAGGAGCTGACAATGCCTCTAATGTACAGAATAACATTGCTGCAGACTTCCACTATTCTGTTCTCACTAGGCATTAGACAAAGATCTATTCACTGAATAGTTTTGTATGAATGTTTTGCATACAAAAAGAGACATGAGAAACAAAAGGATATCATAGCCTATGGAACTTTTCAATCTTGTTCAGTATTTAGGTTAGTTCCTCTCGTTGAAGTATCTAACTGAACAAATGAAACTAGAATTTAATTTGTTGGATTGAAACTTAAAAGCTCAATAATGGATGTAGAAAATACCCCTTCAACTTGTGTGTATCTGCATGTATGTGTGTTACTGTGTGTGGGAGTTATTGTTCACCAGTGAATGATAAGGAAGTAACAAAAAAGTCTAGTAATTAATGTAGGTCTCAAACATAAATCCAAGCAAAGGCTGAATGTGATTAAACAAACAATAAATGACTAGTTTTATGCGGATATAACTTTTTTCATTCACCTACAATTCAGTGTGTGTGTGTGTGTGTGTGTGTGTGTGTGTGTGTGTATTGCATGTCTAAAATGTTGCCATCTCTGAAGTGGAAGGAGGCAAACAACCAGTACCCAATAAGATAATGAAGAAAGGAAAAATATGTTGGTAAATGAGAATAAGCCAAATGCCATACTGAAAATGTTGTGGGATCTTTAATATCTTTGGGTGCAGACAGAAATGACATTTGTCACATGATCAGTCCCTTGAAAGTGCTCTAAAGCCATGTCCTAACAGAATAGAATGGCTGCAGAGAGCTTGCACTGCATGACAAATTAACCCTCATTGTATGCGGGCCCAAATGAAGATGCTTCAAAACGAAGCACCTTCATTAATTTTTGTCTGCTCTGGCACTAGACTGCTGCAGCACTGTCTAGCCCTCAGTGCTGTCTCTGGATGGGAGGGGGAAAAGGCAGGGGAGGGATGTCCATTCTGGGATTGTCTCAATTGTGCTAAAGGGGAAGTGGGGGGTGGGGAGGGGGACTGGAGCTCCTCACCTC